TAGCCAGCATTATATCTGCTTGAGAAGGTTGTGCATAAAGCCCTAAGTATTTCCGTACATGGGGCTCGAGAGGTTGTCTGATTACCATGCAACGAACCGATTCCTTAGAGGATAAGTAAGTATAAGTTGGCCTAGAGAGCTGACCTGATATTTTTTTGGGATTTGAGGAGCAAGGATCGATTTTACGGGCGAGTTTAGCTGATAGCTGTGTAGTCAGTGCTGGTCTCAACGGATTATATGAAATCTGAGCCGAATCTAAGCCGAATCTAAAATCAGACCCGAGATCAGAATCTGAGAGTAAAATCCGAAATCAGTACACGGGATTAGGCTTTATATCAACCATTGGGGTGCTTCGAAATATGATCAAATCCAGAATACAGAGATATCGGAAACCAGAAACACACAACCACGCCAATCGCAATTCCTTGTCACTAGGCAGGAAATAAAAAGTACTCTTTCCCTTTACACTGGTTATACTGAGTCAATATCCGCCAATCCTCCAACGCTACTCGGGTGATAAACGCGCACCCTAGCCGACCCTGCAAGGTGGAAAATGACCGGCATGCACATCTCTTATTGTAGACCTTATCACTTACTTCAGCGCCACAACTGTCATTCGGCTTCTTACTCTGAAAGACAAAACATACATGTTGCAGTCCCCCGATTTCTTAACCAACCTCCTCGACTTCCCCTTGGAGATCACCGAGCGGGTCTTTTCCTTCCTCCCCCCGGCAAAGCTCCGTGTCTTTTGCGGCGCCCCTCCCTTCCGCACTCTCGCCTTGAATGCTCTCTACGCGTATATTGAGATCGGTGACCCCAATGGCCCCAAGGTGCGCGATGAAGAGGAACACGACCTCAGATATACGTTCATGGACGTTCCTCTGTTCGAAAAGTTCGTGCGCAACCCTGAGTTCACCCACGTCACGATCAGGCGCGTGGCGCTATACTCCATTGCCGAGGTGGTCAACATGTTGCTGAAGGAAGGTGTACTTGAAAGAGTCTCCAGAATTAGCAATATCCATGTTCTCTGTGGCTTTGCTCCGCCGGGAATCGAAGACAGGCTCCGGACCGCTGCCGTGTACCGGTTGGAAAACATCACAGAGGCCACTGTTCACGTAACCTGCTCTCTGGACTTGGAGACACCGGTTCAGATCTTTTCCAACTTGATCTTTTTGCGTATGGTATGGCATGATGATTCAACCTGGGACCACACCAAGCCGATCCCACTCCCAGAAACGCTACAGACCCTCATGCTCCAATACCCGGCTGTGCCCGTGACGGTGTACCGCAACCTTCCCAGCTCCTTAAAATCGGTCTATCTCGAGGGAGTTGATAATATATCTATTAGTGACTTCAATTCCATTGAATTTTCTCCTAGCTTGACAGATTTGACGATTGCTAATACCCCTGGGTGGGAAGACCTCCGCGGGATAACATTGCCTCCGCGGCTCGAGGCGTTGCGACTCGTGGAGCTCGGAATCGAGAGTTTCTCAGGAATCAGTCTTCCGGCGACGTTGAAGAGCCTTACCCTTGAGGCAAACCTTTTTTTAGCGGAGTTTGATGTGTCATTACCTGCAAACCTCGTAGACTTGGCCATCATCACCTCTCACTTGGCTTCTCTAGAAAAAGTGCAATTCCCAGAGACGTTGCGCAATCTCGAATTGCTGAGAAACCGGATTCGTCTGTTAGGCTTCCTCAGCAACCTCCCGGATGGCCTTGACGAACTTTTTATGGAGATGAACGATTTGGGGGGTGAAGACGATGACTTGTCCCTGATTCGGTTACCCAGCCAGTTGCGCACTCTTGATCTCGAAGGGAACGATTTGTTTACCAACCATCGTCTTTGCGATCTAGCCCTACCCCCGAGCTTGCGCAACTTGCACTTGAGACAAACCGGGTTACTGTCTCTTGCGGATGTGACGTTTCCGCCTGCCTTGTCGATCTTGGATCTTCTGGGCAACCCGCTCAGCACAATCAACAACATCACTTTTCCCGACACGTTGGAAGATTTACTCATGGAGGAGCTCAAGCTCACACTGGTCACAGCAAAACTCCCAGACTCGCTTCTCTTCATAGACTTCCGTGGCATGCCGTTGAAAACACTCGCCGACTTCCGCATCCCCCAGAGCTGTCGCGAGATATTTCTCGGTGCCGGACCGCTAGGTTCGTTCTCTTTTCTGAATTGGGACGATGCAAGCTTGAAGCTCACGCGGTTGTACGTTGAAGAGTGCGACATCGCGTCGCCTCTGGACATTGGGAGGCTCCCTCCAGGAATCAAGACTCTCTGTATTGAGAAGAACCGATTGGTCACACTACAAGGATTAGAGCTCCCTCCACACTTGGTGGAGCTTCGCGTGTCAGACAATTATATCACATCGTTGAATGGCCTTGTATTTCCTGATTCAGTCAAGTACCTTGAGCTTCGGCTAAACCGAATTACATCCGTCGAGTCTGTTAGGCTCCCAGAAAGCCTAACCAGACTCTCCCTCGCGGGAAACAGACTCACCAACATCGACGGAATGGTGTTACCTCCACGGTTAGAGTATTTTGGCGTAAATGAGAATTCGATCACGGAAATCTTGCACCTTGAGCTCCCAGAATCGCTACTTACTCTCCAGCTCCAGGGGCAAAAAGAGGGACTAACCAACATTCTGGGGATCAAAAAGCTCCCGGCGGGCTTGAAACGCATGGATATCAGCTCCAATCTACTCACATCGTTCAATTACGCGATCCCCAAAGGTATGAAGGTATTATATATCCACGATAATCCAGGGTTGAGGCACGACGCCTGGAGATTGGCCAAGGACCATCCGAACCTTAGGTTGTTCAGACACCATTCAGGGGAAGAGGAGGCTCTACAAGCCAACGTCGGCTCCAGCGACGAATGGGAGGAGTGGGACGAAGATGCATCGGAAGGTGGATCTGAGTCAGGGGGCTCAGACGAAGAGATGGTTGATGCGATGCCCGAAGAAGGGTTTTCAGACGCCGTATCGTACGGTGACACCGACGATAATTCCGACCCCTACGGCGAGTACTCTGACACGGCCAGCGAGTTTGACGAGTTCTAGGTGTCGTGCTTAAGCCACTGTTGGGAACGTCCTTTTCTATTTTGAAATTGATAACTATAGAGCTTGGCTTTTTAGGTAAAATACCGGTGATGGGGGGGGGGGGGTAAGTTACCTACGAAACGGAGTAAAATTATACTCCAGTGTCAGAAGTCTCAGCTAAACATACCAGAGACCGGTTAGAACCGAATCAATAGCCATCTAGTTAAAATTTGAGAACTAGAATTGGCAAGCACTCAGCTTGAAATACAGGAGGTTTACGCATCTCGTCTAGTCTAACAGCTAACGCCGTTTTCTAGAATCCGTCTTTTGTTCCTAGGGTGTTTTGTCTCGTCAGGACGTTATGCTGAATGGAACCATTTTGGCTCGGCTCTGTTGCTTATAGGAACAGAACCATTCAGGACTTGTAGTTTGTGATTTAGCTCCGCCGTCATGCATCAAAGCCACCTGAATAACTTCAAGGACCCCAACCTTCGACAAATTCCCATTTTGAGCTTTAATTACCAGCCCGAAGTCGATAAGAACCTTAAATTGGCTACTTGCAAGCCATTAACCGTGAACAGCAATCAAAACAATAGCGTAAACCACATGATAGAGTTTTGGCCATACCAGTGTAAACGCAATTTAGACCCTTTTAGTTCACCTCCCACCACCTTAACTGACCGACGAGGAATCCGGTATTGCCTAAAGAGTCACGTGCCGGCTTAGAGTTTCAAGCGCGAGAACTCTGAAACAGGCCCTGGAACCTTACGGAGATAGGCCGCCACAAGGTGGTGTTGCATTTTCAGAACGCCGCACCACAGGGCTAGTAACGTGCCAAGTACTTCAGGTACACTAGCCTACATAGAAACAAATATCTATGGTTAGCTGCCATGGACCTCTAACTTTTGCCTTCGAGTCTAATTTTCCCCCTCGGCATGCTCTACTGAAGTCACAGTCTCTTTCCTGCTATTTCCACCTATAATGTGACCATGCCATGTGGCTTCCTATTATACATTGGGACCCTCTACGACTCCTCAATCTCTGTCGTGTACAGCCCGGGGTTTCAGATTTGCGCCCACTAGCGAGCTGCAGACGCGGGCACCCCTCGTCAATCAATGCATGGACGGAGGATTTACGGTGTTCTGCAGCAGCACGACGTTTGAAACACCCCACCGACACGTGTACCACGCACGCAGAATCTGCACGCGCGTTTAAGTGGCCCCAAAACATCAACGACTATTCAACTTGCAGATTTAAGCATCTGCTTTGCTCACTTGCTGTTTACCCAATTTGCTCCTCTTATTCAAGCTCTCCAAGTTATTTCTACAGAGATAGAGCAGAATCCTCTATTCATCTCCCACGTTCGCCCTCCACGCTTACGCCATTCTACTATGCCCGTCTGAAATGAACCACGACCACCTCCCCTTAAAAAGCGCTACCGGTGGATACGTCCCGTATACGACGCCTAAAGCAGTTGGCTTTCGCCCTGACAACGCGCTGCGCTCAGTAATGCTCACGCCGCCAGCCTCGGAACGCAGAAAAAAAAAGTTCAGCTTCAAAGGTTTGTACAAGTCGCTGACCACTCCCGCCGGTAGCACCAACGAAGCCATGGTCTCTGACATTCTCACCAACACGTACCGCAAACCCCACCAATCACACTTGAACAAGCTCGATTTGTCATTGCCGATAAGGCAGGCGAGGCCAATGTCGCTTCCATTGCCGTCACCACTCACCCAAACGCCTGCGAAGGCGAGTCCCTCACCCCATACGAACGACAGCCTTCCTTCCCCCACCACCTCCTCTATCGATATGCTCCACACCCCCGTCAACCAAATTTACTCCTTCTCACCATCCTTCCAAGGCCCACCACCTATATTCAGCGAGCCCGCGCACTACCTGACGGTGGAGGAGGATGACGAATGGTGTCCCGCTCCCCCTAACCTACCGCCGCCCGTCAAGCCGTTCGCCTACAAGCGCTCGCTGCGCAGACACAAGACGCTTCTCACCAGCACGTGCTGCATCTGCCGTGAGTCACTATCCTCCACCTTGGCCCACGTGCTGGAGAAAGTTCTTGAGATGAACTGTGGGCACCCGGCCCACCAGGAATGTTTTTCCGAGTTTGTCGCGTACAACGCCATGACCCACCCCCGTGGAGATAGTGTGGCCGCTATGCGCCGTGCAATCTTTGGCTCCTGTCCCGAGTGCGGTCGCAGCGGAACCCCCCAGCCGTGTGTACCTTCTGACGAGGGGTTGGTGGATGCTTACATTGCCGAAGCCCTTTTGACGACCCCAAACGTGTTCCGTGAGAACAAGGGAGCCTTTCAGATTACCACAACCAACCACCTCGTCCCCGAGTCTCTCGCAGATCCGATAAGTTCGCTTGCCGCGGCCCTCTCCACCACTCTAAGCACAACCCCAGGACCCGTTTCGCCCCGGGCCACTTTTTATCCCCTCCATGCCTCCCTATCTTCACCGAGACCCCTCCCCACGTCGCTTGGGATCTCTCCCCTGAGACGGCTGGCCTCTCAGACCTATTTGGTTCCGCGCAACAGCCCGTTTGTTGGTCACAGACGGGGCTCCTCCATTTCTGGCGTGGCCTCTGTGATCTCCTCTGCTTCGCCCACCAGACTCGTCCACTCGCGCTCGGTCTCTCCTTATACCAGACCCTCGTCCGTCAAGTCGTCGCTCTATAGCAAGATGCCGCTCGCCGTCTTGCGAGCCAAATTCACGGAAGAGCTTCTCGGCCGGACGCCGGAAATGAAGTACGGCTCGTTGCGGTTGGTTGACCGCTTGGCAGCCAGTCTCGAGCTCCACGGTGAATACAGGCCATTCACGGTGATGCTTTTTGAGCGGTGCATCGTTTTAGTGGCCCCAAACTGCGCCAAACAGACGATAGAGCTTCCAGTGGGAGCCAAGATTTACGCCCCGTCCAGCGCAGCGTTAAAGATCGTGGTGGACCAGGATGTGTGCTTGTTCTTGCGCCCTCAGGACGACAGTCTGGGCACAGGGGTGTTGGAGAAGTGGGGGATTGCGTTCCTGGACGCAAAGTTTGTCTTCCCCTCGGAGATATTCACCTCTACGGTGGTGCTACTGGCGGATGAAACGGGAAAGGGAGCTTCTCAAGAGGTCAGAACGCCCACGCCAAAGCTTGTGACTGTCCCACCCTCTGAGCTCGTGCTAGTTCTCCACAATGTGCGTTTCCAACCCGATGAAATTGCCGTTTTCCAAAATATTCTTCGTGGCTTGCTCATTCTGGAGTTAAGGGTCAACGTGGTGGCCGAAATGGCAACGTTTCCCCTTTGTCTGCACGACGACGTTCTCCGCATTGGAACGGCGTTGGAATACTTCCATGAGCAGCCGGCTGGAGCAACGATAAGTCAAGACCTTCGGAGAGACATCCGGAAACTAGTGACTGCCAGTGACAAACCCGACGAAGTAGCCACTGTGGTTTTCACCACTGAGAACTACACCGGTGCCCCTCTCACCGACACTTTGATGTTGCAGATTGGAGGGCACAGTTCAAATAGCTTGGGCAGCTGGGACGCAGTCATGGAAACCATGATCAGGGAATTGCGGTTGGAGGCGAAATTTGACCAGTCTTTTGAGAGCGACAGCGAGGACGAAGACAGCTCAAACCTTGATAAAGCGCCTGAATGGACCGAAACCCTGGACAACGACGATGACAGCGATTCGGACGAGGAATTGATCAACCAATTGGTGCAAAAGCACCTGCCCCTCCAAGCCTCGTACAACGAGTCAGCTTCTGAAAGCGACTCCGATGACGAGTTAATCCATCGCATTATCGACCTGAATCCACACGTAGAGTGTGAAACGTCGCCCAGCGAGGGTAGCGCCCAGAATGCCCTCACGTTGGCACGGCTTTGTGCCTCGGACGAAGCCCGACCGATCAATATCCGAAAACCTGACTCCTTGCGGATGGGCTCCTCCCTGACACAGATGTCCTTGACTCCCGATGTCCGCTCGGAAAGCGAGCTCCTGGACTTGGGGGAGTCGCCATTACGGCTTCGATTGGAGACTCAGCCCATCACCATGCCACGCATGGCTGCCTACCACTACCCCACCAATAAAGAGGGAAACCAAGCTGGCCGTGGAGCCACTAATGACTGGAAAAGCTTGTTTGCCGATATCGACAGGGCTTTGGATGAAACGCGCTGCCCCTTGGATATGGCCTAACACTCTGCAATATGATAAAGGGTGAGCGTATCTCGAGGAAACAGGACTGAGTCGCTTTCGTTCTAAAGACCAATGATAGCCTTTGTTCTGGCGTATGCCTGAGCTATATCTAATGCCAAGTTAATGTAATAATCTATTTTCTGAAATACCGGAACTGCTTTTTTTTTAATCTAGTATAAGTGATCCATGCACAGACATTCTTATGAGGGGGGCTTTTAATGGAGCATTGGCGTAGGTGATTTAATAACTAAACTGTAGAGTGCTGGCCATTGCTGTCTGGGTGTTCACCACGCCCTACCCTTCAATAATCTGGAACTCCGAATCATCCGTGTCGGCAAACCGCTCAATCTCGTACAACAACTTTGTCACCCAAAGGTCCTTTTCCTGGGCTGACCGCGCCATGAACACCATGCTGTTGCCGGTGACTCCCAAACGACTGACAATTTTCACAATCCCTGGGTTTTTGGGTGCGCTCTTCTTACCCTTGGCCTCGTTCAACGCCACCTTGTGGTTTTTCCCCGACATTGCGCGTTTTTTGCCAAACCACAACGTAAAGCACCGTGCAGGCTCCTGCTCCGACGACTTCCAGCCGTCACTGTAAATGCGCGGAAGGCCCTGGAATCCCGGATTAGACGAATCAAAAGCTGTGTCGCGCTTGAGCAAGTCCAAGGAGGTGGTGTTACCAGAGTAGACATAGCACTCGGACAAGGCAATGGTCAAGAAGTGCGGGTGGCCGCTGGTGAGGACTACATTCCCGGAAGCAGATCTGTCGTAGTAGTTATACAAGATCAAGAGCCCAGGAGCCAACACCACAAAATACTTTTTGAAGCTCGCGTGCTTCTTGGGCTTTTGGAAGAGCACCCCACTCATGCTAACGGCACTGGTCATGGCCGCAGCCGATACGTTGTAGAGCTCAGGACTGGAGACGTAGTTCGACTTTTCCCAGGGAAACGCGCCCACACAGGACTCATCATACTCATCCACGCCCAACTGGTCCAAGTTGCGTTGTCTCACCTCACTCATGAGGCGTAAATCCGCTCCCTTCCGCGCCGTCCAGTAGTCTTTCATCGCGGTGAGTCGCAAGACCCACTCGTCTCGTAGCAGGGAAGTGCTGGTTTGCAAGCGGATTCGGCATCCGTTTCGCATCACAATTTCAAAGACACCACCGATCACGTCGGCTTCCTTTACCTCAGTGCTGGCCACCCCCTGCCACACATACTTGCACTCTAGCCGCACTAGCCGGTCCACCTCCTCGCTCATCACTGGGATGATATGGTCAATATCACACATGTCAAGCACCTCCCCGGCCTTGACCACCTGCTTGATCTTCCGCTCTGCCTCGTAGAACGCGTTGGTATCGTGTTCCTGGAAAGCAGAGACGGAAGTTTCCGGGCGGAGAAAGTCGAGCTGGCCGGTAGTATCGAGCCGGTACACCGAGTGAGTGTATACATCATCCATGGTGTTTAACAACGCTAGAAGGGCCTCCTTGTTGGGGATGGAGCCGTCAGCGTTGATGAGGCCGACCTGCGGTAACGGCGGAACCGCACGGAAGAACTTCACCTTGAAGAGCAAGTTCTCGCACGAAAAAAAGTACACGAGCTTGACCGCGGGCGTGCCCATAAGACGGCGACGGGTATGGCCTTTCCGCGTCGTCAAGAGACAGAGGAAACCCTCGATCTTTTCTGGCTCGTGGAGGACGTCCACCTTAGTCTGGCCCTGACGTGGGAGGGAGTTAGCCGCGTTGGGCATAAAGGGATTGGTAAAGGTAGATTTCAAGTTATGATGAATCGCGGGTACAGCGGGAGTGGGAGTCGTGGGCGGACAATCGATCGTAGTCATTTCTTCGTGAATCATAAAATGGTCAGCATTTGGTCGGGTTGCAAAATTCTCCGTAAGGGCCTCCGACTCATCCGTCAACTTAACTTCTCTCGGATAGTGGGTGAGAGGTCGGAGCTCCAAGGAAAACCCCGCGTGCGAGAGCCATCGCGAATATACAAATGCCTGCGTATGGTTATCAATCCACTCGATCCTATCATGATCCCGCAACACAAGATTCAATTGTGTCTTGTCCCGCTTCCAGGCCGTGAGAAGCTCTGCTTGCTCCGGGCTTTGGCCCCGCTGGAGTTGTTCGAGACATTTGTCGATGAGATACGCGAGAATGGGTGTCGTGGCGAAAGTGACCGTGCGATTGTGCAAGCAAAGATCCAAGCCCTTTCCCATCTGTCTGCTTTCGTCTACCAACTCGTCATAGCGGTCGCGTGGGATATGAATTTCCAAGGATGTGTGCAAATCGGGAACGGTGATGTAAAATCGCCCGTCATTTACCTCACCTAATGTGCTGCGAAAGAGACTGAGCCAGCGGACAGACGCACTCTGGGTGTGGGTCTTGAGAATGTATATGTACAGCCCGTTGCTGACGGGGACGGTAAGAGCGATGCTCTTGTCCAAGTTGCTGTACAAGCTGGCGGTACATCGATGCGTGAATGTGAAATCAAGGGTGTTCTCCCGGATGGAGGCGTCTTTTTGGAGGATCCCGCGGTTCTTATAGAACTGCACGAGCAACGGCTGGTCCATGTCGCCAGAGGACCGCACCACCAAGAGGTACTCCTTCCAGCGCTCGGTTACCCGTGTATCGTACGGCTCTGCATCAGTGAACGGTGCCAGGAAGCTCTGTTGCGCGGTGTACTTGACCATCACAAGCATCTTCTCCACGCCCAAGATCTCACCTGTTTCGTAGTCCAGGAGCCACTCGTCGGTGTGAAAGAGGGTTCCTAACGTCTGCATATCACGTCTCACACGGCTCTTTGTCCGTCTGGCCGCCGCTTTCACGGTGTGGAGCCCCTTGCGGCGCCTGGGGGTGTATATCTGGGGGTCGATCTGGGGGTCAATGGGCTCGATGGACAGGCGTATGAGAGACGTCTCGCCGAAGCTCAACCGACACGAGGAGGGGGATCTATTCCTAGAGGGGGATCTATTCCTAGAGGGGGATCTGTTCCTAGAGGGGGATGAAATCGAAGAGGAGGAGGAGGGGATGGCAAAAGTCACGGGAAAGAGGTCATCCATGCTGGAGACTTCGCCTTCAATAACGGGGCTAAGCGGAGGTGGATGTGGTTCTGGAACTTTCAGTGCAATCTCTTGGGTCTCCGGTGGAGCCGAAAGTTGGGAAATGATGGACGGAAACGTCGAAGTAGACGACACCACAATGGGTGGAATGGAGACATTGGGCAGAATAGCTGACGAGCTGACGATACGGGGAATGTGGCTCTGCTTCGCCGGAATGGTCTGCGTTGGCAAAATATTCGAAGTTTTTGGCATCTGCGTCACAGGCTGCTCCCCAGAGTCCCGACCCCATCGCAATGTCGCATCGTTCCCTTTGAGAGTCTCGTCAAAATCTCCTTCACTGTCTTCCAGGGTTATCTCATCATGCACTGTCCTGTGTCCGGTTCCATCGGCGCTGAAAAACTCGGTGGAAAGACTCTCTCTGGACGCCACGGATGCCTCCGATAGCGAGCGCAAATCTGGCCCGGTTCGTGGGACGTCCACCACCCCGAGCAAGGTGACCTTTCGGTCGGTGGAATCCGTCATAGTGTAGTCGGTACTGGTGGCAAACTTGTTCCGCACTGCCTCATACTTCTGCCAGAGCAGCCCGCTGGTCATCTTTTGTATGGCCACCCGGAGTGGGGAGTTGTGCTGGGTGGTCCAGGATGCGGGAATCTTCCCAAGGAGAACAACGGTGGAGGATTGCACGATTTCCTCTGGCTCGCAATAGACGAGTCGGAAGGCTGTGAAAGACTTTCGTGGGATCTGGAGGTGTATTGGGGGAAAGGGGGATAGGCTGGCTGCCATGGGGGGTGTCACTGAGGATTTCCCCGTTTTTAGATGCTTGCATAGGGGTTCTTCTGGCTGCAGACATGGCTCCGCTTTTTTTTGCGGTATCATTGGGGCTTTTAATAACCCTTTGTCAGATGTCATGTCTAAAACTCTGAGCTCTTCCATAGTGGGGCAGCGTGGGGGTTATTGGAAAACAGAGGGCATATAGCGACACAAGGGTATAGCGACACAAGGGTATAGCGAAAAGGATCCAGTGGCAGAAGGGGCGGATTTACCGGTAACAATGGTGGTTCCGGTATGTTTTCAGTACACACTCAGCTTCCACTATAGGAGTTTGTTTCCACTCCTGGGTAACTCAATGGTTGAGATTACAGGCTCAGATCTGGTAGATAAGCCCTTGGGAGATTAGGTAACACGATAGCAACAGAGTATTTCCAGCACCGGCTTCCTCCTGACTTACAGTATGCTTATAGACGTCTGGATTCGATAGCAGCAAGTTTGCAGGCAGATCTATGCCCTTCAGGTGCAAATGTGTTTGCATCGCAAGATGGCGATGTATACATCCTGCACCGCTTAAGCGATGTGCCACATACGGCTCACCAAAGGGGCCACGCCGTATGCGGCTCGTATCTGGCCACTGGGCTGTATAAGAGCCGAGATATAGCTGGTAGCTGTGCTTGGATATACGCTATGTTTTGTTTTAGGTGAGCCTACCGTCGTACGGTAACACTGATATAATGGTGATTAATATGCCGCCTTTTGGAGTTTTTAACCTCTAAGTGCGGCTGGCAGGCAATTTATCAGGTAAATTTACTATATATCGTTTTGTGTTTTTTTACGTTAATCTTCGGGGCTAGAAATTTTCAGTAGCAAATCACATGTATCGTTTTATCAAAACATGTCGTATTTAAGTATGTAACTATAACATATATACCTTGATCAACGTTCTTCGTAATCTCTGTTGCCTTAATCTCTATTCAGTTTGAGGCCAACGAAATCTGAACCCCTTACCGTCCTCGGTACTTGACGCTGCGCCAACCCTATCTATATCCAGCCATTTCCCAATTGATGATTCCTTACTGAGGTGCACTAAACACGGCCAGCCTCACCCTATCCATGAGTAGGATTCTGTCCATGTCACGGGAAGGCATTCTACACTGAATTGTCGTTAGATTGCGCCTACACCCAGAACACAAAGACCTCTGCCACTTGTGCTACGAAGAATGTCAAGCTTGTATATTAAGAGCCACGTGATACCGTCGCCTACGGTAGTGTCTTACAACGCCACACTTGCGCAGCTTTCACCTTGGGGGGTTCAGCCAAAGTTCGAACCAAGAAGTTCGGCGTATCTACGCAAACTCGTTGTCAATATCAGCATCGGCGTCGAAGCCCATGGAAAGAGCATCCACATTCATGTTCTCTGGCTTGGCGATACCCGGAATTCGGTCCAAAACGATGTACATGATCCCCACACCAAAGATAAGTAACCCACTGGTAATTCTGATAAACCCGCCGTGAGCCATAATAGCGCCCACCAAGGTGTAGAAAACACCTCTGCCGGCAAAGGAAAAGAGGAAGGAAGCGTACTCATAGGTCTTTGGAGGGACCTGGAACTCTAACAACCCAATCCCAGCTCCAAAAATCACGAGGTAGATGCCGAGTACAAACGCATGGAAGCTCATGAACAATTGAGATAAGCCAGCGAGCACCTGCAGAGGTTAGTACGGATCTGTGTGGTTATTGTGTAATACGTACGGCAAACCCAGCCACAGCCAAGTTGGCAACTTTAAAAGCGCCAGATAAGTCACCAGAGTCCAGTTCAAAGTCCATTGTAAGATGTATTGTAATAAATGGAGCAGGCTGATATATGGAAACGTAATATTTAAAGCGCGCCTGCAGTGCTGCGCCTATCCTTAACCTGAGGGTGTGTAAGAGCGTGCGAGGAATATTATATCGGTATGCGAACGACTATCTGAAGAAGCCTGATGAGCCAGGCCAGGACCGGTTGAGGCAAATTTTGGGCAGAGCCAAACCGCACAGATAGATTCAGTTTCCAGAAGCTGAAAAGCATAACCAAGATAGAAAGCGGCCAAGGTGGAAAATTAACTTTGTATAAATCCAGAGGTTTCGGACGCAATATAGGACAGGTTCTAGCGCTAGTGCTTTGGGCACTTTAGTGACCGCCGGTCGCTGCATTCAACAAATATCGTAATCTTTTCGTGCGTCATGTTGCAGTCTTTCCAGAAAACCGACCAGGTAAGCTGCCGCGTATCCTAGAAATTAGACCGAGAGAGGGATATGAACGGCTGGCCATGAGGTGGTGTTTGTAACAGGTAGTGCGGCGTTGGATCTGGTGGTAATAAGATGTATCAGGGTCTCTAGCCATTCGTCTGGAACCCCTCCTCGTACTCCTTTATTCCTTCCATAAGGGTAAAATAAGGGTACTAGCTCGGAAGGGGTATTAACGGCTGGTAAAAACCTATAGCTAAGCGCATGACTGCATGTCTGGGATGCATGTGAAAAGGCTCGGCAATTCGGTTTTATCGGAACAATCTACGAAGCTAATAGTCGGGTGGGGTGTTCAGTAATAAAAATGGATAAGAATAGATGATTTTTAGCAAGGGAAATACCACACCTGCCTCTGGATCCCCGACTACGAAGCTGGGCGTTCTGGGCCAGGCTGGCCAAACCATTCACATAGCTTAATCCTGTAATGCTTGTCTTGTGACTGTATATCGCCACACTGGCTTGGATATTGGTATTGCTTGTATTTGAAATTTATTTGCTCGTATTTCCCAGACTAGGAGCTCAAAGTAGTGAGGG